CACTGCTCTGTCCCTGTCCATAGCGCGCGACTAATAAAGAAGGAAGGAAGCCGAGATATGTGGATGCTGAAGCGCGGCCGAACAAAACGGAAGAGATAGAAAACGAAGGCAGCAACAACAGCTAAGCCAAAAGCAAACGCACTGCCAAAGAGAACGCAAGCTCAAACACAACAACAAAACTCATCCATGGATCGTCTCAAATTCTCCACCTCCCTTGAAGTACCGTTGCTCTACTCTCTACTCAAAATGACCTATGATTTTGTTGTTGCGTTTTCTTCTGTTTCTGTTTCCTTACTTTTAATACAGTTTTATACTTTGCCAAAAAGCAAAACGAAATAATTTCCCATTACTCTGTCTCCGTCGCTCGCTCTCCGCTTCTATCTTCATTTGGCTGCGTGATGATGATATTTAGATGGGAGAGGGGGACTCTTGCGGGTCGGGCATTCGGGTTGAATTAGTCAGGAAATTAATTAATCAAATCTAACGCTAAAAGCAACAACAACAATTCAAGAACAGCAAAACGAGAATTAACAACAGCAAACAAAAAAATACAGAATTTATGTAAAAAAAAAAACTTCGCTCTACAATTTGTTGTCTGTCCTTTGTTTATTTTGTGTGGCGCTAACCCTCCCCACCAACCGACCGCTGCAGAAAGCCATTCCATGCTACGCTCCTACATGCACAAATCACACACACACATAAACAATACATACCGAACAACCTTGAGAGGCGCTTAAAATGATTTGATTATTATATTATTATTGTTTCTGTTTCTGTTTCTATTTCTGTTTTTTGTGTCCCAGTAATGAGCTATGGCGTGGCAGGGGCAGAAGCAGAAGCAGAAGCCGAAACATAGAAGGCGGCGCAGACGCAGACGCAGACAAACAGAAGCGACGCGACAGAAAAAAAGAACACTTGTATTTTACACGCTCTATGCCCTCTTTACCCTTTCGATCCTTGCATTGCCTTCTATTCCTTATTCGGATCTCTCTCACTCACACTCACACTCGCACCCGAATGCGAGTCTTCACTTCTGCGCCTGTGTCCAGTCCATTTTACGTTTTTTTGCGTTGATTTTATGTTAAGTTAGTTATTAGTAGACTTACGGATTTCGTTTTTCCAATTTCCAAACCACCAAACATACGATGCCAAAGTGAGACTTTCGAGTGGATTTATCTTCTTAAAAGTGTGTGATAAATGGTAAATGTTTACTGTTCTAGGTTTGATCCGTATTCAGCTTGGATGGCTTTAATGATCGGTATACGAATCGGTATCGAATAAAAACGTTTTACCAAGAAATGTGTAACCAAACTTACATATGCGGTGGCACAAGCGCAGAGTTGAGGAAAGAAAACGAGCAAACGAGTGCTGCACGCACTCTACACAGACACACACACACACACACACATTAACAATAAGTGAATACAAGTGCGTACATATCGATACTCATAACCTTTAGTCGATTATCCTTGGCTTTTGCTCCGATAGTACGGGCGGCATCTTCCATATGGGTCTGGCTTCACTACTCGAGTTCATTTAAATGCATTAAATTTGTCTCGTTATGCGGTATGTCGGTGCACATCTGCAATTCCAATCCATAACCAGCCCACATTGCCATCCAGACCTGATTCACAGCCATCCCCAGCCAATCCTGACTCATCCCGCCACTGCCACTGGGATCGGGGGGCATATGTCACAATGGGGCCATGCCGCGCAGCAAATTTGTTGTACAATTCGAAACAATTTCGTGCAAAAGGAGAAACATTTCGGGGCCACACCTGTGCTTGCAAAAATGCACACACAAAAGTGGTATGATGCCCATGTGTTTCACTCTCGTTCTCTGGAGGAAGAGACAGAGGCAGAGGCAGAGGCAGAGGCGAATCCAATGCAGTCCGATGCCACGGAAGTATTCTCCGACAACCACCTCCCAGATCCCAGATCCCAGATCCCTGCCAGCCCTGACAGCCCCCTCCATACCGTTTTGATTTATGCCGCATTTTGCAAAAGTCAACAAATGAAAATGACACGGAAAGTAATAATGCCAAGCGACAGAGTGAGAGAGTGCTTACCCATTATACCGATTTACATATTTCAGCTTTCAGCTTTCAGCTTTCAGCTTTCAAGGCCGCCTAAGCAGAAATAGAGTCTCCCCCGCCATACGCCCGAAGATGGGGAAAACTAGCAAAAATGTCCAGGAAGGCAGCAGAAACCCGATATTTGATATTTGATATTTGATATTTATGTTTTATTTCAGAAGCATTAATAGAAAAAACAGAAACAGGTGGCGCACACAAGTTGTCGTTTTGACTTGCATCAAAATGCATCAATCACAAGGAACAGGAACTGGAACTGGAGCTGGGGACCAGCAGCAAATCTACAGATCTACCATATACCATCTACCATCTACCATCTACCATCAGAATGGGATTGAACTGCAGCCGTTCGCTGAGCCCCAAGCAGATGGCTGGCGGAGCATCAGCGGGAGACGGGAGACGGGAGACGGGACTCTCGTGTGCACAGTTGGAGCAGCTCTATAAATAAATATAAACGGTTTCAATCATTGGATCGACATTGGATCGACAGCGTCGTGGCTATCTGACACCCACAGATATGCTCCGCATACCGCAGCTTGCTCAGCATCCATTGAAACGCCAAATCGTGGACACCTTTCCCCGTCCAGAGCTGCGCTCTCCTTTGACCAATTTGTGTGCGCCTGCGCTACTGGAGCGGCTGGAGCCGCAGTTCATATTCACCAGTTCACCAAGACCATGGAGTACCACCATGGAGTCCACCCGATAACGAAAGCGCCCATAAGATGCGCCTACTGTGCAAGATGATCGATACACAGAACCTGGGCTACATTTTGATCGAGGACTTTCGCCAATTCACGCACACAGCACACGCTGGGCACACAGCATCGGCATCGGCATCGGCATCGAGCAGAGCATCGGCCATCGATGGCTGAGGCTGAGTTGCCTCTGCTCGAGATACAGGCATTCGGGCTCAATCACTCAATCACTCGGCACTGGGACAGATCAAATATAAGGAGTTCGAGTGCCGTCTCAGTGCTGCCGATCTAGAGGGTCGCCTCTCCATCAGAAAGTGGCTCGGTAAGGACGTGCCGTCAGGGATTGGGATTGGGATTGGGACTGGGAATAGATTGTAAAAGACTCGATACGATAGGTCGATAGGATTGTAGAAAAAGACTCGATATGTTGTGCTGCCAGACTGATCAAGGCATCATCGGGAGTTCTTAGGAATTGTTTTGGTATTTTCAATAACAACTTTGTGGCAACTTATCTTTGTGGCATGTGGCAATACAGAGAAATACAGAGGCTGGAGTTTGAAAAGCTGCAACAATCGATCGGATCGCAAAATGGAAGCAACAATGAAAAGGTACCAAGCTACCTACATGTACATGTTCGTGACGCTAGTACGCTAGTACGCTAGTACGCTAGTACAACAAAAATACTACATACATTTGTACATCAATGTGTT